AACTGCTTGAATTTAGGCCTTCTTTAAGTGTGCATGTGTGTGGTGTAGGAATATGAACACGTGTCTGGTTGTGCTTCCTAGTATAGGAATATGTGAAGGACAGACGTTGACACTGTATCTTAATTGCTTACTTTAAAAAATCATGGGTGTTTTTTCTTCATGTATGAATGTATACCACATGTGTGCCTGGTGCTGCAGAGGTCAGAAGAGGGCATCAGATGCCCCAGAAGTGGATTTGTTGTGAATCACTATGTGGGTATTGGGAACTGAACCCATGGCCTCAGCAAGAGCAGCAAGCATTCTTACTCCCAATCATCTCTCCAGCCTACTTTATCTTGTTTCTAAAGATTTATTTTAATCTTTTAAAATACATATATGTGCATGTGCATGTGTGTTTGTTGGTATGATATGCATGGAAATACACATGCCTATGGCATCCAGAGGGGTTACATCCCTCTACAGCTGGGGTTAAAGTTGGTTATGAGCAGTCAGCTGTGGGTGTTCGGAATTGAACTCAGGTCCTTTCTAAGAACAGTATGTGCTTTTAATTGCTGAGCCATCTCTCTAGCCCCTCCACTTTATTTTTTGTGGTAGGGGCTCTCACTGAAAATGGAGCTCTGTATTTCTGCGAAACAGGCTGGACAGCAAGCCACCCAATGCTGGGGTTACAGGCACATGCCATTACACCTGCCTTTACATGTCTAATGGGGATCCATCTCCCCACCTCAAGGAAAGGTTGTTTGAGCAAAGCTTGAAATTATTTCTTGCAGCTCAAGACTGTGGGACACAGAGATATGTGATTGGCATAAATGCCCTGTAAGCAGAGAAATCTGAGCAATGCAACTAGAACTCCTCTTTGACATGCTTTGACATGCAGAATGTGTAACGTGAGGGAGTATGGAGTCAACCATTCTGATTGACTGGGTCATAGAAGCTATTTCAGACACTTGGTTGTTGACAGGTGAGGTCCCACAAATGCCAAGAACTGAAGACTACAGAGGAAGAATACGGATTCTTTTGAGAAATGGGCAAGTGAGGGTGGTATGTGATGTCTACTTCACAAGGCCCGATAGAAGTTTGTTTTCAGTAGAGTTAAGAAGCTAAGTGAGTAAGGGATTTTAGGACTGAATTGGAGCTTTAGCGGTTTTGCTGAAGCCCCATGATGGAATACAACCCGTAAGGGGCAAGAGAGGTTGTGACAGGTAAGAATAATTTAGACTATCTAGTAAATCCGGTTCTTAAAGTGCTAAAGAAATCTAGAAGAAACCAGGGAAGAAGAGAGCAAAGGGTCTACTCAGGACACCCAATGGCAGATATAGCAAGACTTCTGTCTAGCTGGAGTACTGAGGGGAAAAACTAGCAGGAGCCTAAAAACACACCTGGGGCTTTTTAAAGTGAGAACTATAGTTCATGGACAAAGTAAGTAAGAAAACAGTGCAAGAGAAAACCTTTTCATCCTATGTTGGACAAACAGTTCCCAAGAAGATGCTGTGTGCATTTTTATCCTGCAAGAAAGTTTATAGGGAGTAGAGACTTTTAACCCACACCTGAAGCTTTTTCATCAGCCAAGTGTGGCTGAAGGAGAGGTAAGGGTCATGGTTCTGGCCCAGAGCCTGCTACATCTAGGAATCTGCCTTGAACTGCAGGTCTAGCATGTAAGAATCCCCCCACCCTGTGCCACCCCTAGGAATGTCTACAGAATGAAAACCTGCCCTTTGAGGCTTTCTGGAGTAGGGAGGTATATGCATCAGAACTAAGGCAGTGCCCTAGGATGAGAAAGCAGGGCAGCTCAGGGATCATGACTGTAGATCACAGTATTAAAGAAGAGAGACTTTTTTTTTCCTTTATCATGCTGCTGCATCCAGCACAGCGCCCTCTTCCCCCGAAGCAGTTGACAGAAGTGATAAGAACTTTTCACACTGTGTTTGATATTCCTCCTGTCTTATTTTAATATTCCCTTAGATGTTAAATCCCAAGGCCAGTTTGCAATTTCTAGAAATGGATGGTAGTGGGCCTTCAGAGTTCACTCAGTGTGAAACATTTCATTATATAATGCTAGTCTCTGGGTGCCTTACAGACTCAGAGAAGCATCTGGGAAGATAATAAAAGCAGGCAAAGTTCTCAAATGAAGGCAACTTGTGCAAGTGAACAAGAATCTCCCACAAAATCAAAGTGCCAGAGGTTGGCTATCTCCCAATGAGCTTTTGGCTAAAGAAACATCTCAGGATTGGCAAATCCTAAGGGTCATTAGCACTGCTGTTGGCTTATGTTGAACTAGACAGGAAGTGCTTTTTGTTTGTTTGTTTGTAGACAGGGCGTCTCTGCATAACCACCCTTGTTGGCCTTGAACTCACAGATACTCCATTGCCGCTACCTCCTGAGGGCTAAGATTAAAGGTGTGCACACCACCGCCCAGAGACAGGAAGTTCTTATCTCTGAAGACAACACATATTTGCAGGAAATGGGGAAATTGGACTGCACTAAATTGGAAGTCTCCCACCCCAGCTTCTGCCCCCTCCACTTCTGCCCATCTGTAGAGGGTACAATACAGGTACTGGGAAAAGCTGTCATTAATCATCTTAGTTTGTACCTTGCACTCAATGCTACTAGCATATCAACGGGTGCACACTGTTGGCATAAGGACGAGATTAATGGGCACACACAATCCATTTCCTACAGGTCTTAAGGATTACTTTACAGGAAGGAACTCATCTGGTAATATAAGCAAGGGCAAAAGCCAGTGGCTGGAGAGGTCAAGGCTCTGGTGGGCGAGTGAGGGGAAATGATGGCTGTTCATCTAAGCCTTCAACTTTGTGTACTTTACTACTGAATGCCTGGGAGACTAAAACTTCTTGTGTGCCATGGGCATTCACTATATATTCCGTATCTTCATTCCATCATTGGCCCAAGTCATCGTCTCTTCTAGATAGCATCTCCGTCTAGTTTTCCGCTCAAATCCCTCTAATTACAGGCTCTGCACTAACTCACTTCCTGGTACTCTCCTGCTCCCTTGGACAGCACACACACTATTTTCCTTTCACTCCTTCCCTTTCCCCTTACTGTCTTACCTGGGCAGCTCAATTCCCCATTTCAGAAACTCTGCCTGGAATGCTCTTCCTCTATGGCTGCTTCTTATTGTAGTACAACCTAAATGTCAGTACCGAATGGCATTCCTCAATCATCTGAACTGAACGAGGTGCATCAATATTAATTCTGGTCCTCTTGCTCCACGAGAACGTGACATTTATGACACTGGGTCTTAATGTCCCATTTAGCTGTACTATGTGGGCATGGGGCTGGCATATGGAACTTGAGGTAGACTGGGTTCCTGTTCTTGTAGAGCTTATGTTTTAAAGATGAATACAGAACCTACACTGTGTTCACTGTTGCATAGAAGGGCTGAAATAGTCTATTCAGAAAGAATTACGGTATTCTGAGATGAGCTATTATTTGTAATGAAGCCTGAATGATGGCTGGGAAGAAAGTTGGCACAGAGAACCCATGGAAGAGAATTCCCAACAGACAAAAGAGCACCTTTATTGGGCAGAGTTCTGCCAGTTCCAGGAAAGTCCATGCCACTTCAGTATAAGAAAACTGGATAATAATGGCAGTAAATCCAGATTGCATAAATGTTTTAAGGAAAGCCAATTTATATTTCATTCTAAGTGAAATGGCATGCCTTTTAAATTGTTGATGGCATTATTTGACTTACAGTGCAGAGCTTAGCTACTCAAATGATGTAAAACCTGGGAGGAGTTAACAATGTACTCTGGTAAATGGACCCCAGACTCAGAATGCAGGTTTTCACCGAGCTACATAGGTGATTCACAGCAACTTCAGTGTGGGTGGTATCTTCCTGTTTAAAAGTGATAACTCATCTCACTTCAGGCAGGGTTTATTCAGGAAAGCTCTGACTAAATCTCTCTCCTCATCCTGTTTCCCTTTCCCCCACCTGTACAGGGATATGGTTTTACTCCCATAGGTAAGTGCTCATGCTATGAAAAAGCTATTGGTTCAGATCTCATAGCCAACTAAGTGGAAATTTCTGTGTGAAGTGATGGAAATTTGGATTTATGAACGGAAAAATGTGTTTAGGTTACAGATTTGTGTGTCTCCTAGGGACTTTGTTTCTGGGTTTCAAGTTGCCCCCACTCCCATGTGTTATGTTTGACTACAGGTATAAAGTCCAAGGCTGATCAATACTGTTCTTCATTTCTGGATTTCATCTGAGAAAGTTATACTCAAGCCTGTCCAGTTTTGAGGAACTAAGTTAATTTCGACCTCCTGAGTAGTAGGGTCCATTTCTCCTCGTGTCCAATTCTGTATTCTTCTTTATTAAAATTATATTGTATGTATGGATATATGCCGGTGTGTAAGTGCACACGGACCAGGGGTGGCCAGAGACAACATGCCAGAGTTCCACAATGTGGGTTATCTGCCATGTTGGCAAGAACCTTCTACCTAGTGAGTCATCATGCCACCAGGTCCCCAATTTTGTATTCTTAAAACGGAACCACGGAATTGAGAGGACAGAAGGAAGTCATACTTGGGAGCTTGGCCAGAAGAGCAGCGTCTTGCTTTATGACAGTCACTAAACATGAGAGTAGAGTTCTGCGAAACGATGTACTCCTAGTCATATAGCCTTTCTGATTGGTTTCCGGCTGTCTAAAAGTTCGGGTTCTTGCCTGTGGTGGCTTCTGACACAGGGGGATCCAAGCAACCACCAAAAACTGTCTCGGTTCATTTCATGAGACACAGTAAACACAGGACACTGGGGGTAGTTACATGGCATTAAAACGCTCAACAGTTTAACGTCGTCTACATTTCACTCTTCTCCAGGTCAATTTCCTACTTTGCTTTGGTCACCACCCCTAGAAAACAACTCAGGGAGCAGGGCAGGAGGTGCTTCAGGAGTGCAGACCACGGGACGGGAAGGGGCAGGGAGGAGGGGGAGACCCGCCTCTCGGTGGCCGGCCAGCCCCGTCCGAGGGCTTCAGGTGCCGGGCGCGTGAGTGGGCGGGGGCCTGTGTTGGGGACGTGCGTCCCGGGCTCACCCGGGCTTCGTTCCGCGGCTATAAAGGGCAAGTCCGCGGTGGCTCGCCTAGGCTCGCCCGGCTCCGCCCCGCCGCTCGCTCGCTCGCTCGCACTCCGCTCGGGCCACTCGACCCACTCGGGCCTCGGCTACTCGGGCTTGCGGCGAAGATGGCGGCGCCGGCGGCTGAGGGCTCGGAAGCTCATCTGGAGGCCGCCTTGGCCGACGTGCCCGAGCTGGCCCGACTCCTGGAGATTGACCCGTACCTGAAGCCCTTCGCCGCGGACTTCCAGCGCAGGTACTCGGGGGAACCCCGCCGCCGCCCTCCGCCGCCGCCCTCGGCCCGCGGCCGGCCTGCGGGTGCGCGCCGCAGTACTCCCCTCCGCGCGGGCACGCCCCTCGCGCGTGTCAATCACTGGTGGGCGTGGCCCCGGCCTCGAGCCCCCTTCCCCCCGGGTCTTCCCCCTTCTCCCCGCACCTCCGCCCCGGGCGCGCGCAGTGCGCGGCCGCGCGCCATCCGCGACGTGCTCGGGCGCGCCGTGCTGGGGCCGCTCAGCCCCCGCCGGGACGGGCTCGGCCGCTCTCTGGTGCCGTGGGCTGCGGGGGACGTGACGCAGAGCGTGTGGCTGTGCGTTTCCAACTTTGGAAGTTTCCTTCCGAGCAGTGTGGGTGCAGTCGTTCAGGCCGACGCGATTCCTTCATCTTTCCACCTTCGTCTGCCCCACGTTCAGGAGTGTATACATGGCCACCCCTTGGCGGGTCCCTGAGCTCACCAATCACGGAGAGGGAGGGGACACCGGTAGCCAACTTGTAGAACTCAATTCAAAAAGCCTTTAAGTTGTAGCTGCTCTTCTCATGCTTCCCTCGATTGGGATTCAGTAATTACGGTCAGCCCAGGTTTAGTTTCAAAATGAAAAGACCTTCTATACTAACTACAGTAGTCATCGTCCCATTCCAAGTATTTTGTTGTAGACACATTTGTGATGCTTGGTTTCTTCTCTGAAGCCCAGATACTGCGAAAATCAAAACTATCCTGGCAACAGATTCCGCGCAGTGTTTTTGATCCATGGAAAACACTGAACTGGTAGTGACATTGGTGGTTATGAACATAGGTTGATTTGAAAACACAAACTTTTAAGTTCATGTCCTACCTTTGTGGTGTCATTTAACACAGTCACTTAAGTAACTCTCTGGTAAGGAACTGATGGACACAACTGCTACTCTAGAGATTATAAAAGTGTTTGCGGACATTATAAGCGGCTCATTCCAGAGTTTACGTCTTCAAAGTAACCAGGTGGGGCTGGTGTTCGCTTTAAGCATGTAATTATGCCCTTGGAGTAAGGATTGGGGAGGAGTCTGGTGAAATCTCATCTTGAATGTTCAAATCTGTGCTAAGATAGTTCGAGTGCAGTCCTTGAAGTTAAAAGACTTGGAGTTTGAAATGTGATTTTTCAAACAAGCAAATAACTTATCTTTTATTTTTATATTTTTTGTATGAAACCTTTTTTACATGGATCAAAGTAAAAGCTATGTAGAAAGAAACATGGTAAAGACTCTCACCTCTGCCCCTGTCTGCCTCAATACTTCATCGAGTCTCACCATAGTTATACTTTTTAATATAAAAATCTCTTTATTGTAGTGAACTCACAAATTAAAACAAAGGAGGCTGATTAAGGGTGATGGCCGGCCTTCTTGGAGGTCCTTCTTTTTACAGTGATTCTACTTCTGTGGTTTGAAAAACAACCTGTAAGAAATTTCTAATAAAGGGTTGTGAAAATGTTGTGCCTCGGTCCTGTTTCCAGTTTTAAGTGGCCACAAGCAGACAAATGCCATTTATTCACTGTGTGTGTGTGTTTGTGTGTGTGTGTGTGTGTGTGTGTGTGTGTGTGCGCTTCACATTCAACTCCACAGGGATTGGTGCAATTATAGTCATCTTTCATGGTTTGTCAAAATTAATGAGAGGAGCAAAGGCCGGAATAAAGAAGGGAGGGAGTCCAGTGTTCTTGCTGAAAAGTCTGGCCCAGCGGGGTCCTTCTGTGCTTCTCTGTGACCAGGATAGCTCTCTGTCCTTGGTTCTGGGTAATTGTCATTTTCCAGCACACATGTTCCATTTAGGCATGTCAAATAGTAATTTGGCATTTGGCAGTGGTTACTTTTATTGTTAGTTGTTGAAGAATAAAAACTTTTTCTTAGTGTTGTCATGGCCATTGATCACTGGGATTTGAAATGTGGCCTTTGCAGAATTCAGGTGTTAACCCAGTGTATTTTATAAAGAGCATTAAGACATGCCTAGGCCAGGAGGGCTCCTCTCTCATGAATGAGTCAAAGCCCTTATACCCACAGACTGCTATGCTAGAAGCCCTAGTCAAGGATGCATCTTTTGCCAGTGGACAATAGTCTAATCAAAGAAGAGACTTATGGGGACATCCATGTTACCCATTCTAAGGCCCATGGAACATTGCAGAAGATGGGGATTAGGGCTGTCAGAGCCGGAAGATGGGGAGCTGTGCTGTGAAGTTCCGTCTTTTGGAAATGACTCTTCTATGGCTATCATGAACGGTCATTTGCACAATATAGCCATATACATACCCACCCCCAAAGACATCAAAGTAGGATGGGTCTAGTTGGTAAGAGGAAGGCAAAGAGGTCACCAGGAATGGAAGGAGGACAAGAGAAGGCCAAGGAGGAGAAATGTCATAACCATACATTGTATACAAATAAGAAAGTTTCAAAAAAGTTAGCAACTGTTTTAAAAATTGAAAACAAAACAAAACAAAAAAGAACCTCTGGTGCAGTTTTTCCCTGTGGCCCTTCTTCTTGTGAGGGTATGGCATTTCCACTCTCTGGCAACTAGAGTAACAGGATGCCATCTGCGAAGCAGAGAGCAGCCCTCACTGGGCAACTTCACCATCGTGTTTTGACTCCTCAGTCTCCTCCTGAATTGTGAGGGGATGCATTTTTACTTCTTACGAATTATCCTGTGTCAGGTATGTTGTTGCAGCAACAATAATTGTATAAGGTACTTACTTTTTTTTTTCAGCTTATTTTTAGTAACTTGTTTGTGTAGTATGTGCTTGGCCCAATACAACGAGATGACCATTTATGAGCAAAGTGTGGGGAGGCATTTTCTTTTCAGTGACGGATCATCGCATCCTTTCCCAATCCTCATCGCTTCACGTGAAGTTCTGTTTTGTATGTTCTTTGTACCTTCTGTGAGAATTCCAAATCTGGTGTCGAGTGTGCGTTACTTTGCATTACAAATAAAAAGGAGATACATTAGTGTGTGATCACTAGCTCATTGATTGCCTCCTAGGTGACATTCTCTACTTTGCCTTTTCTAATCGTGTTCAACTTGCTCTTATATCCACCTAGTTCTTATTAGTGACAACAGCAACTTTTGAAAGCTCATGTCTTAACACGGCATTTTAGTAGTTGTGGACTTTTATGTTCAAACAGTCCAAATCATTTGGGCTCCAAACTTAGGTCCATTAAATGCTAAATATAAAAATTTCGTGGAGTGGTTGTGTTACAAAGTTTAATACAGAGGACAAGACTGGGATGCCATAACTTGATGATATTGGATAACATTCTAGCTTAAATATTATTTGCACTGGCTTTTACTCTTGTTACGTTCTGTTCTTTAGTGTTATTTTCTGAAAGCAAGCCAGGACCTTAAATTCCCCGCTACTCTTTGTTTTCCTAATTAACTGTGTTGTTCTTTCTTCAGGGAATTATTCTCTGTCCTGTCGAGGGGATGGTGTGAATGAGGTGAGGCAGGTGGCAATTTTAATCACAACCTAATAGAGAAGGAAAAGAGCATGTTTAAACTTTGATCCTTAATTTGGAGTGGAAATGATGAGGCAATTGCCAGTTCCCTGTAAGCTGAAGGCAAGAGGAGTCCTGGGACGGAACAAGCACAAAGCTCCTTTCATGGAAAGAGGTAGCTGCCAGCCTGCAGAAATCCAAACTCACTGTTCTCTTGATCTCCCCCCTGTCTCCTCTCCTCTTTCATCTGACTGCTAAGTGTTCATATTCTTGAGCATCAAACATCTGCAGGGATTTTCTTCTCCTGAACTCAGGGTTGGCTAGACAAATGATCACACCGGGTTTACTAATAGCCAGGATAACTTTGAAAACAAGACCAATGCGTGAGAAGCAAAAAGATTATGATATTCACTTAAAAGTTAGAAAATGAAAGTGTAGCCTGAGCATGTTATTCATGATGTGTAATAAGAAAAAAATAAATTTCCTGGTCTTGCCCTCCCCCCTTCCCCCTCTATATTTGATGATTTTAAGGTATTTTAAATGATTTTGATGTTTTAAAGATATAAAATAAAGAATGTGCTATTCATATGTGTTTTAATGAAGCCACTGAACAGTCAACTACAATGAGGCACAATTTCTGGGCAGGAACTCCAGTTCTATAATCTCAAGTTGAAGTTTATAAGTTTATATTTTGCCTTGGTACAGTTGGGGTTTTCTAAATATTCTGCAAGTAGCTATTTGTTATGATAATATTACTGACTATCATCTAATTCATTTTCACTAATCAGTTGCTTTCCATAGTTACATTTAGGTGTGAGGACCTGCACAATGCAGACATGCATGCTGTTAAACATGGCGATATCACCTACACATGTAGTTTCATTTAATAGAAAATCCAGTGACCTATGTGTTATAGCAGCAGAGGTTTCTAGTTTTTATGTTTTCTACCTTTAGTATGAAAGGTAAAAGCTTTGGGTATCCACATGGATCCGTTTTTATCTTTCTACTCTTTGGCATTTAACTTCAGCATTTGATTTTTATCCTTGTAAGATTAATGGGCAAATTCACATCCATGGTACTACTGTGCAGACATGTAGATTTGCTGTATTTATTTACTCAGACATAGGCTAGCTATCTTGATCTTTCTGATAGGACAGTGGTCCTAACAGTGCCCTGTTGTTATAGTTACCTGGAAGTAGCCTGGGTCATGAAGACTTTAAGCTGCATACCATCTTCCTGAGAAACGCCCCCTTTTCTAATCAGTTTTCAGAGCTCTTTTCCTTTCTCTAAAGAGGACACAACAGACTAAAGCAGAAGAGCCACAGCTAGATTAGATTAAAGTCCTTCATCGTCACCATGGATGCATCCTTCTGACAATATCAGTCCTCCATCCCCTTTCTCAAGAGAAGTCTGCAGCCATACACTTCAGTGTCACTACCCCCTGGGTCCTGTCTTCCTGACACTTGAAATGTATTTATTTTTTATTCCTTTCTTGGAGAACTTTAGAGACATTTGGTTGCCTGGCCTCAACCA